AACTGGGTTCTTTCGGTAACAAAGAAAAAGCTGAGAATTGCTGGGTTCTTTGCATCGTTACCTTTTCTAATATATCTTTGTAATAAAAGACTAAAGCCAACAATACACTGCGTTCAATTATGGAGAAAAATAGCTCTGATAGTGCTGGTGGTGAATAAATGAAATGATCGATCTATTGACGGCGTGTTTGTTTTTTTCCAAACAATTGTTTTGTGCGCGTGCTGAATTGCATCAGCAAAAGCGCGCGCGAAAATTGTGCTCGGCCACCTTAATATGTGTTCTGAACCTATATTTTGGCCAAAAGATGCTCAACAAGGCAAAACTGGCTCGAGGTTGCTAGTACCGCAAAAAGATGCACCAAACGTAACGCCAACAGTTGTTTAAAAGTTACTGAGCACGGTTGGCCGAGCGCACTCGGAACACTGGCCTATTTATATGTCCTTGGGCCGTTATCGTTGTGTAGACATTCCTCTTGATCTGATGCCAGTTACCACATGCCAGTTAAAAGGTGGCTCTGTGTCCCTATTAACAGAATTTTTTAAAACTTTACCAAGAGTTACATCTTATCATGCTTATCAAAATTTGGTAAGATAAAAGAAAATTTTGTGCTGTCATTAAGGGTGTTTTTGTCTGGAGTTCGTCGAAATCGCAATTAAGTACTTAGCACAGGGGATTTGAAAAAGCCGAACTGTAAGGGGGGCCCAGGGGAAAAACAAAAATAGATTTTATTTTTGTGCCCGCTTCGCGGCAAGTCTTGTGCTCCGCGCTCACTACTCTTCCCGCGCCATTGCATCGCTCGCGCGCTCAAAAACAAATTACAGGCCCGGATACACGTTGCAATATTGCGCACAATGGCTAAAGTGCATTGTATCCACCCCTAAAATTGTTGTGCGCCATATTGCAGCAGTAGAATTTCGTCCTACTTCTGCAACATTGCGCGCAACAAATTTCTTTGTGTGTCCCCTGTCTGCAACATTTCGTGCAATAGTGTGACGCAAATTTCAGTGTTCAGCCAATCAAATCTGACATTTAAATTTAACCGCTGACCCAAATGTCGCCCATCGTACGTTTCATCAAATATTGCGTGTAATGTTGCACGAAATGTTGCAACCGTGTAGCTGCGTCGAGTAAAAAAATGTTGCTAGGAATAATTCGCACAATGTCAAACCGTATATCCGGGCCTTACTCGTAGCAAAAAAAATAAATGTTTGTAGACAGACTATTATTTTACGAGAAAACCGTACAAAGCAAAAGAAAACACAAACGTGCATGCTTTGTTAAATTCATTGAGTAATTTCTTGTGATCATTTTATTATTATTATTATTATTATTATTATTATTATTATTACACAAGCTGTAAAGGAGAGGTGAGAGCTTTCTGTTTAGCTACTACACCGCAAATCATAACATTTAGGTTCAAGTGAAGGTAAGGTTGGCCAGTTCACTAGCAACGGAGTCAGAGTCGGAGTTTTCACGAGCTGCGCATTTATCCCACTCTGTTGATATTATTCTGTTGACTTGCCCATGTCATACCTCAGATAGAGTATAGTTAAATTCTCTGTTGTCCTATGTCGGTTAAAAGAGATCTTAAATAACAGGGCACTGGATACAGTGTTTGTAAAAGAAAACGCTTTGCGCAAGTCAACAGAATGAAACAGGTGCTTAATACTTACAACTTATTAAGCCTTTCTTCTCAGAAGGCATTTGAGGATGGAACAAATTTTCCAGTTTCTTTCCCTTTCTACTGAATACCGAAGGACAATCCTGGTAAATGTCTTTATACAAGAAACGTAAACCACAGTCTCAGAACACGTGTCTGTTAGTTCATTTACTGATTGAATGGTGCATTACGAGTATATATGGCATTAAATAAAATTATCAGCCGTCATCAAGGGTCTGAGAGTGTAAACTCTTAAAGCATCGATAGTTTTTATTTTTCTAATTACGTGTGTAATCATCTCTTAAGGAGTAAGAGTGGCCAGAGTAGCCATTCGATATAAAATAATTAACAGAATCATAAATAACACATGTTTGATATTTCATTCGTGGCCGTATTGTGTTTGCATTGGCCTTTAATAATATTACCAGCAAGCTGAATTGGTCTCCTTGTATTCCCCACTCCAGCAACTTGACTCTTCGTCACTGAGATTAAAATCACCCTTAGCGTCTAGGATTTATGGGCACGTTTGGCAATAAGCGAGAGCTATGATTAATGAACGGTTTCCAAAGGAACTATTCTCGAATCAGAGTGTAAGCAATACTTAAGACTGCTTCTTTCTTTTACTGACACCTATTTACATTTCTTGGCATAAAAATATTGTGGAGTATATATTATATCCCAAGGTTCATGTTCTTTATCTTGTTATATATAGAAGACCAGCCAGCTGACCGATGATACATAATCAAGGGAAAAATCTTTTGCCCAGTCCAAGGAACGTTTTATCCGAGCCAAACGTGGTCCTGCCCTCTAAAAATGAGAGAAAAGGTTATCAGTATCAACTCACCCCGTGGGGGAACCCAGTCCTCACCCCTTTATTGGCGAGGGACCGGAAATGTTTTGCCCCCGTCCCCGTTATAAAGAGGTCTGATTCCGCCAATGTGACGCCTGAACAAATATCTAATGAACGTTTTTTTCCAGCACTACAAATGAAAAGGTATGCTTTGCAACTAGCACAGTGGATGGAATCTCTTCCACGTGGATGCCTAAGCTTACAGTTCTCACTTCATGCTGGTTCTGAGAATTTTGTTGTTTATCAAGAAGACAACTTCAAGTTGATGACTTTGTTCACCATCGTCATTTAGGTCTTGAGAACAATGTAATAAGTTGTACTGATCATTGAATCTTTTTTCACCAGACTACTCTTTGGAGTTAAAGGATCAAATTGCTTTCCAAACAAAGTCGAAAAACGTTCTGGTCAAAACTTGTTTCAGACTCCCAGTATAGCTGTTTTGAGAAAAGATATCCAACTACAAAAGCGTAAAAGCGTACAACACAATGTCAAAAGGTATTATGGGTAGTGGTAGTAGCTCGAGGTGTGTCAGCGTAATAGCTGAGAAGAAAACAGCACAAACACGCGTATTCATCCTTTCCTCTTGCTGAAACACCGTAAACCTCAACTAAGCAACGATAAACCGTCACTACCCATAATTCCAGTCGGCATTATCGCATACTGTACGTTTACGAGTATGCGAGTGTTTGTTGTTTTTTTTTTTATCGCCCTCTCCACAGGAACCGACTGCCTATACATACTACCCTGCTACCCTTCACTTTGTATACTTTGTCTATATATCTGCGAGTCTCCAAATAACCTACGTAGAAACGTGTGCTAGTTTATAAAGCGAGGCGACGGCGAAGTAGACGCCACGTGACCAACATTTCGACCGGGACTGCACCACGACTCCATAGAAATCTTACACTTATAGCACTACAAGTACCAATCAAAAATAACTGAATCACTCACTTTTAGGTGGTGGTTTTTCCATATACCAATACATGTACCCTTCTCTAGCCCTGGCATTAACTGATGTCCTCAGCAGTTTGGGTGGTAAGGGACGTGGTTTGTGATAATCGCCTGGCAAATTACCGTGCAGCTCTTTGACTAAAATGTCGCTAAAATTCGGTCCTCCGATCCGGGTCAAAGTCCCATCAATTTCGTGCCGGAACTTGAGGAGTTTCTTTTCTGATTTTTTGTCTGATACGAGAAGAAACAAATCAAGTTTTAAGATTACTAGCATGGTTTTTAATCAGCGGATAGTGTAAGATTGTATAAATGTTCTTCTTGACAATAAGACGGACCCAAGGTTGTGTCATGTGCTAATACAGGTGTGTATCCACTGTACCTGGGTGTTGTTCGTGCCGCATTCGATCACCATGAAAGGTCTTCACTTGTCCTGTCGTGTCTCTTATTGAAAATGTGGCAACCTTAGTAGAAGAAAACGGTGAGTGAGCGTTAGCCACTATTAAAACTGATTAAAGTGAGCATGACTGTCGATCGGTTTGAGATGGCTTTGCGATCCGTTTTGATTCGAGACCTAATGGCAGGGAATTACCATGCTTTTATACGCTGTTATCTTGTAGTAAGTCCGGGCCTCGCCCGTACACTCCGGCACCCCCTTTTAATATCAGAACAAGAAAAAAAAACCCTTTGCTAATAATACTTTACACCTGAACTGGTACCTCGTTTACACCCTCCGTAATGGTCATAGTGGGCTTTGCGAGTAGAACATTACGGCTGCGTACTTCCTTTCGCAACTCAGCCTGACGGCGCGTTTTTGCCGTTCAACACTCCCACCGACACCGTCCCTACCCCTCCCCTAACCCTCACAGCGCGCCGTCCCCAGTTTTCACGCGGCCATTTTGTATCTCGTTCTTTATCGCTCCTCGGCTAAGGAAATATAACGCGGAAAGAGGGCCTATCCGTTGACTATTTCCGCGATCAACCTGTGAGACGAGTATGTAGTCATAAAAAATACCAAAGCGAGAACTATTTACTGTGCTGTAGAGGAAGATGAACCTGTGTTCGTAAAGTTCCTGTCTTTTCAGTACGGTCTAGCTGCATACTAATGACAAGCTACATGCAAGTGGTTGTTGGTGATGATGATCGTGAATGAGCCTATCATTACAATGGCACTACGTTAGAACAGGTAGCGTTTGATTTAAGCTTTAATCTCTATTCGATAACATAAGCAGAAGATTTACAATCGATCTATAAAATGTGCTTATGGTGGACTTTCTTGGTCTTTTAGAAGGAGAAATGGAAACATTGTCAAACGTGAGGGTGGCCCGCCATACCTTCAGCTTGTTTGTTTTCTTGTTGTTGTTGTTTTTTCATTTTTCGTCTGTTGCCGTAAATGAGTTGGCGATAAAAATGACTGCCTTCGAAGGGTACGAGGGATATCTCTCTTCACGAGCGTTATGTTCAAGTTGCGTGACAATTCGCAGGAGCTTGTTTAGAGCACGTAGTCTCAACAACCCAAAAATTAGTTCTCTTGTGCTTCTAAATTCACTGCTCTCTTTCAAGTCAAAGATTCATTTTACATCGTGCCATTTTCTTTACAAGTTTCCCGACAATTTCCCTTCATGATTTCCCAGACGGCCTCCGTCGATATTAAACTCGGCAAAGGAAACCCGCGCATGGAAACCATTCCTAACAACCGTTCAAACGCACGATTACTTCTCTTGCTAATGAAAACAGAAAAATAGTACCAGTTTACCGTCAGGATTTCTAACCTGCCTACCTTATGTTTCATCTTTGCCCAATGATCCGTGTTCCCTGCCATAAATCTGTGCTTGGCGGGTTCCTTTGCTGCCCAGTGCGACAAACTGTAAACAAAAAGTGCGCATTCAGTGTTTTAACTTTTTTTCTCCTGGCTATCGATGGATTCATGCTACTTACTATGGCAAGCTTCCAGAGCTATCTCGGTATAGTTGCACATCAGTCATGTTCCTCGGTCTTGATGGCTAGACTAAGCCGATAACATAATAATTTCAAACGCTTCCTCGTCGAGGATTTGTCTCAAAGAATACTCCTGACTCTCCGCGTATTGTGTTACTTGATTAATTTGTATGCTAATAAGTTATTGAACAAATTGACGCAGTGAACACAAAAGGCTGTCGGATTGGAAAGTCACGTGACAGAATACGTTTCTGGTTGGAAACAAAGGAATGCCGTAAAGCTTGGGTCCTTCGCAAGTGTTGTCACTTTCTCAAGCTGGCCGATTTGTTGTTTTATTTTTCTGGTATTCAGGCACTTTATTTCGGAGTCAACGAGAGAAAATATAAAGGAACGAACGAAAATGGTCTGACTATTCTGTGACGAGGATATGTCACGCAACACCTGTTAAAATACGACGTGAGGTAAAAGCGATTGCAGTTTGACGAATTATTGAGGACTTTTTGGATTCCTCTGCTTTTTGTATTGATTCAAAGTTCTTTATTTGTGGTTTCTTTTTCACATTTCTATGTTTTTTTAATTATTTACGTTTTTATCCGGGAAGTCACACAACACAATGTTTAATGCGAAAACGAGGCCAATTAGTTGCCATAGTGACGCTGTGGGCTTCCCTGATTTTCCACACAACAGAAAGTCGCGCCGCATTTTGCACACAGACAGTGAAAGAATTTGTTGAAGAAATGGAAGTTACAAGGGCGACTATTGGCTCTGATGCTTGGAAGAATGCAAGCATAAGAAACATCAGGCTTTCTCAGACAGTTCTGAATCGTAGCGACAAAGCATGTGAGTTAGGACAGCAGCTAGACCCTCTGCCATCGCTAAGGGACACAAGTATACAGCAGAGCAATGCCAGAATCCATGCCTACGTTCGTGCGACAAGGGCCGTTTTAGTGAAGCTTAGAGAGAGTTTATTAGATACGAATGAAGAGATCAAGTCGCTTTTAAGAGGAAAGGAAGACTTAGAGAAGACCCTAGAGCATATACGAAAAGACATAATCTTAAACACAAGATCTACCATGCAAAGACAGACAAGGCCATCTCGAGAAAAGGTAACCCGATCCTCTACCGTCTCTGTCTTTCGATTTTGTTTTCTTTTTTTCCTTTGAGGCTCATAAATAGCCTCGATTATGAAAATTCCGTTTTAAGGAACTAAGGAATGTGAACCACTTAAAAAGAAATTAATTTGAGCTGCCCTGTTATGTGCTCAAGGTGAATATATTATTCAATTTCTTAATTGCTTCGCCGTCTACCCGTTGTTTCGTTGAAAGCAATCCTATTTGTGGTAAGTGAGTTTGATATTTAACCTCAGCGATTGAAAGAGGTAGCGGTGTTGTTTTTTCGACGAAATTCCTAAATATGAAACAATTCTTTCGCAATTACTGTAGCTGTTAATGAAAAGTCTAAAAGTCCTAAATTTAGGTTATTCTAATTTTTAAAGTTAAAGGTTATGTTGCAATAATCAGTTATACATACTGCAATACTCCAGTTGTTAATTTTTTCATGGAAAGAACGAGTGTTTTTTTTTTTAGCACAATCAGCACAAAAGAGTAGAATCTGAAGAATTAATATTATGCCCTTGATCTAGTAACTATGCAAATTATAACAATCATACACAAACTTTTCATTACCTTTTATTGTTCTAGTCTCAGCACGGAGATATAATGTGGGATGATTTTATCTTTGTTTAATTAAAAAATTCCTGGGTCACAGCTTAAATGCTTCTGCATTATTTACTGTTAAATCATGTAGAAAAGGCGATGAAAAATTAAAATATTCTCGTGAAATGCGTTCTAAATTTGTATTAATCAGTTGGACTTGTGTACAAAAACTTGAACAGTTCAAATCTGGACACCCTCCCCCACCCCCAAACTAGAGCAAAGTCAACCTGCCCACACACCTAATTATATTTCACAGACTCCATTCGAAATATATGAGACAACAAATGGTAGGAATTTCCCGGTTAGTGCTTCAAACCGCTTTTTAATGCCAACAGAAGGGCGAACCCCCCTAAAGAAACAATAAACGGGGCTTGGGTATACCCAAAAGGCCCTGGGACTAGATCTCGTGGTCCCATGATGCTTCGGTGGCTTTTTGACACCCTGGAATAGACAGACAAAAGATCGAGAGACCCCATAGAAGGGAGGGAAGAATGGCGGGAAGCTCATAAATTTCTCACTTCATCTGTTCATATCATTTGAATTATAACTTCAGGCCGCTTTGCGGCCCTAGTGTAATTCTCATTAGAGGACACTTCCCTTAAGAGAAAAATCAAAGTAATAGGAGCTTGAATATAATTGATGCACAAAAAGTTTTTGGATTATAAATATAAGGATTTTAATTGAGGATATCATCAAACCTATTTCATCAACTACATGCAAAACTATGACACTTATCTTTCTGTGCAAGGATCTTGATGGTGCAGACGATCTCCTTGCTGCTGAGCGTCAGCATCTGTTAAAGCTCAAACGCATTCTAGAAGCACAGCTACGTTCTGTCCAGAAACAGCTTCAAGTGCTTGATGGTGCCAGGAAAAGGCTCACAGCCTCCTTACAAGAGAGGTCAAGGGTTTTGGATCTCATATGCCATGCTGTATCATCGGTTCGAGGTGCTGGAATCAAGGACCAGGCAGAAAAGCCAATCACACCACCTGTAGAACCACTGGGACCTTACACACCTGAGTGTGCAAGGGTGATTTCTGCAGCAGCAGAAGCCAGGCAGAGGTCCACTAATTTACGCAAGGAAGTTGCAGAAGCCATTGAGCAGACAGTTAAGCTACAGAAGGCGGCACATCAGTCTGTGAATGATGGACTAACTCAGAAAGTTGCTGAGACAGTCACCATGAAGGTGAGTTGAAATGGAATGCCTTATGCTTTAGACTTTATTATTTGGTGCAGAGACATTCAACACCTGAATATTAACAAATGCTTTATTTTCTCTGTTTTTTTTTCTAATCTCTTCTGACCTCTGAATTCACTCAAATAGATTATGGAGTCCTTAATATCATTTTTGGACAATGCTAGATAGGTTATACTGTGTATAGTGCTTGTTTTGCTGAGTTGATGAATATTTCCTTCATTTTTCTTTTAGCAACACCTTTTGGTTGGTGCTGGTGAAACTCGCATGGCCATTCATCGCAGCAAGCGCTGGTATGATGCAACAGAGATGGCACTTGGATATACACTGGTAAGTCATGAATTAGTATGGTTGACATTACCAATAGTAGTTAAGCTAACAGAGATGCAAGATTATGGTACCTTTTTGGAAGAAATCAGACCTGTGCTATCCAGGACAAAATTAATGATCATCACTAAAGAAGGACTGTCTTGCAGTAGAGTGCTGCAGTTGGCTCGTTGACTGAGAATTGCATGGGGCATGAACAAACTTTTTCCACTCTGCCTTTTCTCTTGCTAACATGGTAGCCTTGCTCCAACTTCTCCTTCCAAATCTAGCCTGCTTCTTTTCTGCCATTCTGAGCCATGTATCTTTGGTCTCCCTTCTGTGTAGCAGTGGTTAAGGCTTAAGAGCTATTATTTTCAGTATTTTGTGATAGTTCTCCTTGTGAGATGTGACCAGTCCACTGCCACTTGCAAGTCAAATCTGCAGCACGTGGTAATTCTGCAGCTTTTTGAAGATCTAAGATAGTGATGACATTTCACAGAAATATCTTCAATATTCTTCTCAAGCAGTTCGTGATATACATGTACACCTGTATAAACCCATGCTTGCAAAAGAGATGAATTTATTTTCTGTTCAGCATAAAACAAAGAAATGGTAGCTCTTGTCATTGTCTGCAGACCTGCCTAACTATAGCTTTTACTATGCTATTGTAATAGGGACCTGTGGCCTATTCTGATCTAACCACACGTGAGCGTCTGGACCGCCCAGCTGTACAGGTTCACCAGCGCCACCCTGGTAACCAGCTGCCTGAAGCTCGCGAGATTGTTAAGGGAGGGGAGGGTCTACAAGAATCCTTGAATGCTACAGCTCGTAATATTGGTCTTTTGAGGCTTACCAAAAAGAGGGTTGATGATGATGCCAGAGATAAGCATCATGCTGCCTTAATTGATGCTAGTGTAACACGCACGCGTAGGCGTCTTGGAAATCATCGCTGGGTGATAAATGGTATTGGATGTTAAATCCAGGTTGAAGTATTCTGTCTGCAGTTAAAGACTTGAAAGCAACCTTAATTTCTTTTCACTGAAAATGACATCCTCAAAAAAGACTAATATATGTTGAAAACTGCTATTTGATTACCTGCATGGTTTCTTGTCAAGATGCCCCTTTTTCCTGGTAAGATTTTAAAGTTTGGCTTAATTACAGTGAATACTGGTATCAATAATATATACAAGGAAAAGGAAATGATAATTCAACCTGAAATTTTGCTTTTCACAACCAACAGTTGCACTGCAGAGTCACTTGATATTGCTAGATTTGTCTTCCTATCACTGTAGAAATGAGACTTAAAATATGTTTCATTGAAGGCTTGGTTTGTAAATTAAATATACTGTGTCTATTACATTGTTTTATTTATAGAAAAGGGTGAAAGATGCCACCGCACAAAAATTATTTTAATTTATTAACTAAAATTAAAAAAGAATTTGCCTTCATGTTTGATTTTACATTCAAATTGAATTTAGAACTAATTTAATAACCTTACAATATTGTAAATAAGATTGAATACCTGAATTTTTTTTCTTTATTTCTGCATCGTTAATTAGTCTGAAACTTCTATTTTGATGTGTGGTAAAAGAAAAAAAAAATAAGATAGACGAGAGTGGAATTGTGTCAATAAAATCCTTAAAATTAACATGAACTTAGAGTGAATGATACTGCCAAATCATTTGTGATGATTTGCAATAGTGGAACTTTATATAGAGTCCTTGGAACTCTTACCCTGTACCAAACCACGAAAATAGTACTTTCATGAGCCAATCCAATTCTAATATATAGTTACATGTAGAAACCTATTCAGAGTGCTAAATTTCGTTTCGAGATATAAAGTCGCCACATACATGTACATGGGAGTATTCCCTCTGCCAGACTGTAGCTTTTTATATCGTGTCCTCGTCCCAGACCCTGGTCTCGACTGAAATGCTGGAAACTTGACCAGGAAGACATTTCCCCTGTGCTCCCATGATGGTGTGTTGAAACCCATCCTCGGAGGCCCAGGGGTGGTTTGGTCGGGGTAGAGTTTGAATAAACCGTGCAGCAATCGATCTCCGCGACGGAAGTTCACCTGATGTAGAGGCCACATTGGGTAGGCAATTTGAAATCCAGGTGAAATAACTCGTGGTAAATAGCAAACAAAACTCTTCAGACTAATATATTTTATTTCTGAAGCAAACATTACATACAGTGTACCTTTACTTACAAACTAACCCTGTTTAAGAAGCCCCGTTTACTACAGGAAAAACCTGTTTTCATATTAACTCTCATTGAATATCAAAATACCAATTTTAAACTTTTACAGTTATGTTACGAACTTTCACGTTATTATTTTTGTTTCGATTCGGTATCAGTGACTGTGCTTGGTGTCCCTGCACAAAAAATGTGTAAAACGAAATTGTCCTTTTATTATAAAAAAAACCTTGAACGTGCAGAATACAGGTAAACCTGTTAACGGTGATTGAACTACTAACGCCACATTCACTATTGATGTGGATGCCAAAGTAGCAACAAATTTCAGCTCTGATTCAACAAATTGACTAAGTCTTGTAAAAACTTAATGTAACTAACACCACCTTATTCTTAAGAGTACAAAAACCTCATATATTCCTAATTTTTCCCAAAAACATTTCAAGAAGGAAAAACTGACATATAAAAAAGACAACTCCGAAAAGTTTGTTTGCAAGATTCCCATTACGATGATAAATTTTTGCAAGTTTGCTGTTAGGAGATGTGACTCATGCCATACACTTTGCAATTTCTTATAAGAAAGAAGATCTTTTGTAAAATTTCAAAATCTATTATTAAAAGTTGCTCGAAAGTTTGAAGGCACGGCGCGTTTTTGGTCATAGTTGCAACCAAAGGACCCAAAAGGATCACGGATTGTTGGCAAAGCAACATGCGAGGGTATGCTCAATGCTTGCCCTTTCGCGCATAATACATTTGCTATTAAAAGTACTAATTAATATACTTATAAAGAAACGTCTTTGTCGAGCTCAAGTACCAAGTACGACTGCTGCAGGACATCCTTTCCTATGTGACCACTCAGTTTATCTACTAGTTTCTGAAGAAGGACCTTTCTACGTTGAAGCTTGTCCTGTGAACGGGACGCCGACTTAAGTTTCCCTTCCAGACTTAGGTTTTCTTTCGTAAGGTCGGTGTTTTCGCCGTACAGCCGGTGGATTATCTTCTCGCACGTTTTGAGCTGGTTGTCTGCAGTTTCCATCTGAAGCAAACAAACAAACAAAAAAATCGTACGAGATTACAAAGATTACCTAAATACAAAAAGCGGTTTTTGCAAACGGAAAGCAGGAGTGGCTCAGTAGTACAGCGCTGACCATATACCAATCTGGCCTGGGTTTGAATCCAGGGGCCTGTTTCNCCCCCCCCCCCCCTCTTAATAAAACCACATAAGGAACCGCCTTAATGTGCCATCCCAGCAAAAAGCGGCAATGAAACCAGTCTTTCAAGACCTTTCAAGGTACTAATTTTAGAGATGTGTCTTTCATAAGCCACCCGTCTTCACGCTCCAAACAAAAAACCTATTTGAATTCTACCTCGCACCGGAACGATTCTGATCCTGAAAAGCCTTCCCGTTTCACTCCCACAGCCCTTCCTGAAGTCATTACCTAAACTTGTACCAGAGGTCACCAAGGGTCACCAAGGGAAATATTGCTGGATTCTAACTGGCCAAAAATGGACAAACCGTAAAATGTTTGCACTATTCTACTGAGGCTACTGCTATTATTTCAGACGATGTTTTTTAACAGGAACCCATCACCGTGGGCTCCTGTCCTTAACTAAAGCCAAGGAAAAAGAACCTTTTAGTGTCGGAACGTTTGTTGCTAAGGGATATTTTGGTGGAGGCACGCCCGATCACTTTGATTGGTCAATAATAATCACAAATCCTCTCTCGTCATTTGTGATTGTCGCGACTTGCATTCTCGTCCCCAGAGGCCACGCTCCTTTTGGTCAGCCCCAAGAATCGCGCGATTCTTGGGGCTGACCAAAAGGAGCGTGGCCTCTGGGGACGAGAAAACCTGTACAAGGTATAAAAACCTGTACAAGGTATAGGTATTTCACCTGTACTCTCAACTGGCTTGCATACTCCCGAGCTACCTTCGCTTCACTTTCTGAAGAATACTTCTCCTTTTCCAACTTTACGGTGGGAGAGGTCACAAATTCTTTGGTGTTCTTGAAATCAAATTCTGCCTGCAAACACCGAAAACAAATACATTTATTTCTCCTCCAAGAACAGTTGCTTATATATTGGCCGAAATGCCCGACTTCAGTGTCAGGAACGCGTGGAACGTGTGATTGGGAACCGCGAAACGCAAACCACCGGCACCGATGTGCGTGTTTCGGTACCAGGTTTTCCCGGTTGACCTTAGCCCGGGAAGTTTAGAAATGTTCGCGGCAAAAACAACATGGCGGTCATAGCAAAGGAAGTTTTCGCATGTGAATGTGCCCACTTTTCAAGTGGAAAGACTGTAAAATGTCCACTGTTTTTTTCCACAAGAATCGCCTTTAACCCATGTCCGTCTTTTGCTGTTTATATTATGAGGGAAAAATGAATAAGATTGGTGAACTGACTGCAAATACTTCTGAAGCACGTTTTCCAACGTACCTCACGCGTAAAAGATGGACAAGGCTAAGGGACACACTTACGAAAATGTTTCAAGGTATGGCCGTAATTTAATTATACATCAGTAGCAGCTGTGTAGCTTACAATGGGTAACCAGTCGTTTCACCTGAAGAGCTTTTCACCCGATCTATAAAAAGTGGTTTCGCCCGGACCAATAGTTATTTGGCTCCGAGAAAAATCGGTTGGGGGTGTGCGGCCCGCTTCCCAAAACCCTTACCCTTTTTATAGACAAAATCTGCGATTTCTCCCATTCTATTTATGACCTGACCAAAATTTTGATACCCTTTACATGTGTGACTTGATCATGAATCAGTACCTGCCATTTACCTAGTTCCTTAGTTCAGACCGATGTTAAAGGCATCCTGAAGAGCTTTTGTTGATCGGTCCTATCAGTAATAGTGACAAAGTAGATTCTTCTAAAAAAAACAAACCTATTTTATGACTACCTTTCAAAGCTCATACCCTATATATCACCAAAATGGCTAAATTTTACACCCTGTTTATGGCCAAAACTGCTGTAAAACCATACCCGTCGGGGCTGCACATACCCATATAGGCCATATAAGGGAGTACTTCCCCCCCCCCCTACTTGGGGTTGAACCGGACCAAAAGTTAGTTGGCCCGAAGTTTTATTAACTTTTATTATTAGGGGGTAGTTGGCACACACGTTTCTTTTTCCATCTTTCCTTCCTCAATATAGTGCCAAGGTGATCTTTGATAAACAACTTACAAATCACATTAAAAATATACATACAATACCAACATACAACATAAAATCAGAGATTGGCATATGTAAATCAGACTGCATTATTTGTGTAAAGGCAAGTGAAACGTGTCACACAAATTCCTTTAGATAATGTGGAATGTTTTGTTTAGTATTTCTCTGATTGCTAGCAAATAAAAATGCATCATGGCTTGAACGATTAAATCAAGCACGCACAGTAAGCCGATTGTTGCATATGACAAGTATTGAAAACTATCAACCATGGAGGGTCAGAACTGATCGTGAAACTTCATAACTTCATAACTTCATAGAATATTCCTTTCAAGTTAAAAGGTGAAAAGAAGCTAGACTTGTTCTATAAGTGGCGCTAGATGTTTACAGGTAACGTGCATGGTATTCAATGGCCATCTCGCTGGTAAGATGAGGAAGGGTCTCAACAGTGTTTGTTATGTTCAAGTTATATAGGTTATTGACTAAGTGTGCAGTCAAGATGGTGGATATTGGCCAAGCTTGTTTTTTGTGTGTTTATGGACCAAGACAGACTCGAGTTCCATAGACATGCAAAAAAAGAACAAGGAGAATATCCAGCTCTCTTGACCAAACAAGCTTGGTCAATAAAGGATTTATTATGTGGAAATAGAATACTATTTCCTTCCAGAACACAGCAGGTCATCTTGCTTGCTTGGGTAGCCAATCACAGTGCAGGATTCAGTTCATCTTGCCCACTCAAGGAGCTAGCGACACAAAAAACCACAGACTAACTTTTGGTCCAGGCAAATCAACTTTTTTCCGAGCAGTACAACTTTGAGATCGGGCAAAATGGTTCTGGGCGGTTCTGCAATACAATGTAGCTTTGGTGGACACATTTGTATATATTAATTATATTTCAGAGAATAATTTGCATGATGATTTATCATGGTAGTTGAACTGAGTGGAGTGTAATTTGTAAATTAAGGTAGTACATGATTTTGAGTACAATTTGGAATTAAATAATAAGCATGCACAAGTAAATTTTTCAACGACAAAAAATCTTGCATGAGCCCATAGGGTGAGTGCAATTTAATTTCAACTTTATGCACTCGATTTCAACTTTCTGCAAGTTGTTTATTTAGGTCTGAAATCACGCTCGTAATTTCAAAATCAAGTGAGAATTGGATGACACAAGCCTATAAGGTCTATAAGTTTACTTTGCAATTTTAAGCTTAACTCAGGCTAATTTTTTTAATCCAGGTTTATGAAGGAAAGCAAGTCTAGAATTGATATTGTTTTAAGGGAAACCTTCCAACATTTTAAACGTAAATTGTTCTGTTATTGTGTTGACAAAGTTTTGACCTCATGGTCAACTCAATCCTTGCTTTCATTGATAGACTCACTATATACGATACTGTAGATATTTTATATGCTTAGGGTGAGGGGTGGGGTTGCCTTTATGAACATAATAAGGGGATGTGTACAAAAACACTGATCCTAAGTCCATGGACCATCCAAAGAGACTCCCCTTAGGTAGAAATACAACTCAAATGTGTAATTTTTTAAATGATATATAGCACATCATCATTACCATTATTGAGAGCTAACTGGAAACAGGCTAACCAGAGCGCTTTTCATGCTGGCCAGTCAGCCAGAGGGGAATTCTGGTCAGCCTAAGGAAATTCTGGTTAGCCATTTTTATGGTTAGCTTGCGATGGTGATAATAGTTGTATGATATCTCATGGCTTTCATTAAAAATTTCAGCAGGAAGGCAATTGGTTTTCCAAGGAGGCAAATTATTTTACCAAGTGAAGCATACCCCTCAAGATTACATAAATGAATTGATTATATGAATATAATGAACTCGCTAGTCGTTTCAAGGTAGGTAAAGTCTGCTTATGAGCCAAGTGGCCCATCAGGCCAGAGCTTATCCCAGTTTCTGTAGCATGAAGCGACTAGGAGTATTTCTACTCCCCCCTGGAT